GGTTTTCAATAGCTCTGGTGGCATAATGGAGAAGCACAAAAACCTTCCGAGTAATGACTTGAAAGCTGCGATGAGTGAATTCGTTGATAGTATGGATCTATCAGCAGCCGGGAAGGATGATGAAGGGTGAGAAAAGACTATGTAGCCTTGCGGGTAGCATACGACTGACTTTGGTAGTGAACCAGCGGAATACATGGCCATCGAGGACACCTACTCTCCTGTCCTTCATCGTATTAATCAAGCTATACGCAGACGTGCTGTCAAGCCAGATGAAGGCATACCTCCCCCTCCGGATGTTCTAACAAAATGGTCACATCCTCCCACTGAGCTTATCGAAAAATCAAGTAGCCAGCTTGAGAAGCTGATCGAAGTAGCCGATGTCAAGAAAGGTACTTCACTTTCCAATCCTTCTCCAATTTCATTAATCTAATGATACCACAGTTCCTGCCACAGCCAAAGCCAAACGCAATAGAGAAGTCGTCAAACCTCTTTCGGGTCTCGATGTAGAAGCTCTCCTCGGCCGAGAAAAACGTCAAAAAATCACCGTTGAAAACGCCATCCCAGAATTCAAGCGAGCCCTTTCGAGCACTGATTCCACAGATAGCGTCGTCAAAGTTACTCGAGAAATGGGCGATATTGTTCGTACACTACTCAAACGAAGTACTGGAAATTCTACCTGGGGTCAGGCTGGAGAGTATTTGAGGACCATGAGAACCGAACTTATTGAACTTATTGAACCGAATATCTACAACAATTTCATCGAGAAATTCAAGAAGCAACTCCAAAATGGAGATTTTGATAAGTTGTTTTGGTTCGACGTTGTGAGGAAGAATAAATTGGGTTTGATTCATGGTGGTGAAGCAGAGAATACAGAGAAGACAGAGGATGAGGCTAGGCAGGTTCGTTCACTGTTTCTTTCCTGTTTCTGCGACAGAAGTAACGTAGCTAACCATGAATGCAGTTCTACCACTTGAATACAGGAGAGCTACCTAATCGCGGAAAGGTTTGAGCGATCGGGTGAATGTGAAAGGAAAGGGGGGGATGTACAATTTTACTCGTCGCAAGGATACCCTCGAATTTGCGTGATGATTGACGACCATTTTACTGATTTGGGAAAGAGAATTAATCTGCTGAAGCTGGATTTTAAAACGTTGTATTATCATTTGTTTGATTAGATAGGATCGAATGAAAAGCTCATAGTCTTTCGAAGATTTGGCTTAATCTCTAGTTCAGGTCTGATTAGAAAGATGTTGTTACAAAATGATTGTGATAATGGCTAGGTGATGAAGATATGTTGTATGATTCGGGTATTGACATACCGGATATACCTATATATGAAGTAGATATTATTGTACTATGCATTCATAGACATGCTTTTCTATTGGACGGGTAAAGCCAATGTAGTTATATCCTACTTTTCCTTGTAGGTACCTCCACTTGAGGAACTACAGGTATTGAGCTACAATACTTGAAGTAGAATTGTCGTTGTACGCAAAACACAAAGTTTGCTGCAACGTAGGATAAAATCAGAACGAGGAAATATTCATCAGATCTCCAGTTGGGCATCTCTTCTTGCTGTTCATCAGATTAAATACTAATGCCAGGATGTAGAACTCGATGATTAAATAAGTCTAGTGACTATGTTCAAAAAGTTGGCAAATACTTGCTCCAATAATCTAGCAAATTTGACACAAATTGCAACATAGAATGCACTGATAAATATCAGAATAAGCTTGCATCCTCTAGACGAACTTAACATGGCAAGATTTCAGGCGGAGTTGCGTGGTCCCAATCCCAGACCAGACTTTGAGAAATTTGGTGCAGTTCCTCGTGTAATTCTACTCGAATACCTCCGACCTTTGGACTTTACGTTCATCAGAAAGATCATGATTGAGATTGTCCGTACACAGTGTGAGTTCCTGGACATACTTACAACCCTTGATTTACAGCCAGTGTTTCCGATAGGTGAGCTGGGTATTGGGTATTATGAATCGTGAACATCAACATTGAAAAGATTATCTCATTTACCTTTTAATGTAAACCAGAGAGATTTCTGTCATTACATCTGATCGAGGGTATAAGCTACAAGCTCGGATTGGAAAAATGATAGAAAGAAGATATGTATAGTGTATCGTACGGATCTCACGCCTCACGCCTCACATCTCCCAACTCCCAGGGTTATCTGCAAATCGCAGACCGTGGGCGCTAGTCAGAAGTTCCTATGATTGCCTATGTACGTCTAATTCTCATGACAGATATAAACAAGACAAACAATAAAATGTCACAACTTCACCCATCTAAGTTCTAGTCTACTGCTTGCGTCATCTCACTATCTCCTCTCCCTTTTACGAACACCACTGGTGGTGTATAATGTTTCTTCCCGTGTACAATATATATCAAGCCTGCGATCACAATAACAGCAAACCAGACCGCCGGTGCCCACTACCAGTTGTTAGCCCATCTTGCATCTTCCAATTTTATCTTTTCAGTTCTAGAAGATCAAGAAGTTACTCACATTAGCATTTCCAAGTGTGACCGGCGCCTCATTCGGAAAACAGCTCCAAACCATCACAAACCCACAATACGCAAAAGCAAATGCGTTGATCGGTAGTCCAAATCGCCCTAAACTCCATCGCGCTGGAGGCAGAGATTCACCTTGGATGCGCTTCAACAGAACACATCCGATACTTATCATGTAAGTAGAAAGAAGGGCGAGGAGGGAGAGGGAGACAACGATGTTGAAAGCGAAGGAGGAACCGAAATTTATGAGACAGAGGAGAAGGGTAAGGATGGAGGTCAGATAAATGGCATTGGGGGGGATGTTGAGTTTGTGGTTCATCTAAAGGTCGTTAGAATTTCCGAGGAAGAGGGAATGTTGGTTGAAAAATTGATTAATCCTACCTTGGATATCCATAGCGAACATGGAAAACCCTTATCCCTTGAAAAAGCCCACAACTCTCTACTCGTAGTAGCTAACGCTGTGATATTTCCAGAAAAGACAAGTATCACTACAAGATAAGGGAGTCAGTATTATCGACCGAGGACAATTTGGGAGGGAAATGCGTGAAAATGAAGTGTCAATGTTGTCTTGGGAAATAGAGCACGACATGTGATGGAAATTAAAATTGGAGTGTGAGATTGGTGAACATACGAAGGATAATCATGAGAGCCGTGGCCATGGCCTCAGATCCTGTGTTTAGAAACAGGCTCAGATAGGGTGCTGGAGATTCGATTGCTGCGTCGAGGGGTCCGATGCAGAAGAGCATGGTTATTAACGTAATAATGCCCAAGAAAACGTTGAGGATGTAGCTCCACCACATAGCTCGCGGAACGTTGATCGATGCATCTTCTACTTCTTCGGCTAAGTGATATGTGAGCATCTAGATGGCCATATCATGTGAGAGAATAGAATACTTACAGATATGCACTGCACTATCAGATCCTATATATCTCCATTCATCAGCCACGAATTCAAATTCAGTTTAACGATTCAGCTCTTCGATGACTTACCAAGATTACAATACAGCACGCTAACCTGCGCAATCAAACAACTCGTCCCTGTGTTACTCCATCCTCCATTGTTAATCACATCCAAAAATACACTTCTTGTCGAGTTCTTCGGTGCCATAACCCATAGTGGTATGATAGTTATCAGGAACCCTGCCAAATGTCCAAATAAAGAAGTGGTTTCAATGATAGGCAGGAGTCTTGCGCCCCATGTGTTAAAGACGATGGTTATGAGCAAATAGGCTATCATGATTAGTGTATATTGCCATGAGGAAAATGAAAAATCTGCGTTTCGGATATCTATAATTGCTTCAACGAGAGTAGCAAGGACAAAGACGCTACTGGCAAAGCTGGCGATCCAGCCAAGACTCGACATCCAGCCTGGCGGAGATGGTTAGCAAAAGTGGAGAAGGTTGAGGAAAAGGAGAATAGGTATGGAGTGTAATCACCGGCGGTATAACTTAGGAACTTTTGATATTTGGGGGGAGAAAATTCGGAAACCCAGTGATATTGACCTGCAATTCGTCAATCCCACAGTTCAAGAGAGTAAGTTTTCCATGCAGCACCCACCACCGCTCGTAGGAGCCATTGACTCCATTTCTGCAAGCGACGCCACGATTGACGAATAACACATCACCGTCCCAATGAATACCCAGAACAATCCAGCAAACCCTCCATTGATCAATCCGACGCTCAGTGACCTATAGTTCTGTAAGGTGATTTATCTCATCGACACGGGAATTGTGAATTACGAACACTAGGACAAACTCCCATGTTGCCATGTATATTGAAATGAAACCAAGCGTTGAGATGAGACTAAAGTTTCTCTATGGCTCAGTTAATTTGCTGTCGTCATCGAAGTGATCTGTACTGTAATTTGCACACCTTGAATTCTTGCTTCTTTCCCAATCTAAGCATATCGTTGACATCATTTTGAGTTTCTCCATATTCGTCGGTTGGAGACGGCAATCCAGCTTCCAGGCCTGCTTCTCGTACCTCGCCATTTATGCTCTTTCGTTCTTCAGACACCTGTCCATTATGTAACGTCATAACACCTCACTCGAGGTGCAGCAGCAAGTCAATTAGTTATCTCTAAGATTCCAATTCAGGGGAAAACGCGTGGGAAAGATACGACATAAAGTGATTGTAAGTCGGGCTGATCCTTATTATTATTGATTTGTTGATACTTCTTTAATCTGAAAGTGGTCACATTGATGTATTTCGAAGCGGCAAACCGTATTTTAGTGCGTCCGTCAAATGCCATCCGCCGCTACTACTATTCCCCCACTCTCCTTCCGGGGTATCGTTATCTATCATTTGCAGAATCCTTCAAGCTACCTAGGTGTTGTTGCTTGAATCTAATTCGTGCAATATTTGTGTGTTATCAGATTCCCTGTTGAATTCTGCATACTCGATGCAATTTGCAGAAGCGATGGAAAACTTCTCTGTTGTTAATCTTTGTTGCTGTATCGTAATACTCTACTTACTCAAACTCATGACATTGGAACATCCTCATCGATTTTTCCCTCAGAGGGAGCCCCAGTCCATTTGAAAACTTTGTAATGAAGTCTATCTTTGGCCAAAATCACTAATCTCTTCCTTTCGTCGTTGTTCTTGGAGCCAATTTGTGGTCGGATCATCATATATTCTGGGATAAATGACTCATCGACTGCAAATTCACTTTGCAGAAACCTGTCGATTACCTCCTCGTTGCTGAAAACAATTACTTTAGAGCGACTTGCAGAGATTCTATGAGGTTGATATTTCATGTGGCCTTCACCTCCAACGCTGTAGAATATACCGAGAAGATTGCACTTCCCTACAACAATGTTAGTACCGAAAAATAAAGATCGATTAAGCCTTACCGTCGGCCTCCCATAGCACGAGTATGGTCCTGTCGTCCAAAAATTTAAGATCCTTGATCTGCCCATTGCCAAGCTGCATGATAGAAGAACTTGTGCTGCGCACAGTGCTGATACCACTCTCGATGAGAAGCTCAACCTGAACGACTTGGACTAATCTCCAGTCAACAGACACCCAGGCAAATATATGAGTAGTGTATTGACTGACCTTGATTCAAGAAGTCTTTTGGCACAAAGGCGATGTAGCCATGACATGTGTTACGATCCTAAAATGAATCAGTGATGGGCTGCACAAATCATAGTAGCAATACTAACAATTATCTTCATCTTCATCTCGACAGGCACATCTTTGTGAGCCATGCCTAGTTCGCTCGCCTTACCGAAAAGGACATTACTCTTTTCGGCATCTGCAATTTGAGTAAAGATACTGGTCGCCTGAGTCCTCAAATACTTGCAAAGAAATTCCACTTGCGGCAGAGTTTTTCTGTATTTGAGACCTTGCTCTTGCTTTTCTAACTGTCTTGTGAGCAGATCAAACATTTGAGCGCCTTTCCCTACATGCGCACTTTCTTCCTCGTAGTCTTCAGATTTAACCTCGCCTATGAAAGCTGCTAGAGGGCTATTGGTCATCACTGTTTGAATGTACAGTAATACTTTACCGTGATCAATTAAAGCCTCTTTATCGCCATCATCATTTTGTGAAGACACATCAGATGCGAGCCTATCTATCTCGTGACGAAGCCAAGCAGAAAATGAAGTAAAAAGGTCGAGCTCATCTACTACTTGAAGTAAAATTTTGGCAGAAACAAGATGTAGAGACGCGATCGTATCCATAATCGAAGTTATTTGAGCACTGGAAAAGCCCAATGAAGAATCCGAGCCTTGAAATTTGGCAATTCCATTCAATCGGCTGAGAATGACAGAACAACGATCTAGGGCTGGAAGCATATTCTCATGAACTAAACGCCGGAGGTTTTCAAGACCTGATACCACGGCTTTGTCCCATCTTTTGTGACCCTAAAAATTTAGTACATCTCTACGAAGAGTAGAAAAAGTAGACTTACTCTTTCTGTCAGTTCGTCCACAAGCCATTCCCGCACAACTGGAAAGGTATGGCCAGTTGCAACTGAATGATAAAGTGCCTGTACAATATCTCGATTATCTTGTTCAGCAAGGGTTTCATTAACGTTTCGGAGGAACCTGCTGGGTAATTCTTGGGTTGACTTCCATTCTACAAGCATAAGACATTGTATTTGATTGATATATCTAAGAAGGTTCTCTAAAGCTGTTGATCGCGATGCAAGGATGGAGAGATATTCGCTAGAAGCTGACAAGAAACGAAGATCCATTGGGACGAAATAGATCCTTTCTTCAGATTCGGTGGTTTTCATGAGCAATGCATGAGTCGAATATAATTTATGGGATGCATGTGAAATAAGATATGCCGGACGTCTCTGAACTATGACTGGGGATTTGAAAGATCCTACAACAAATGAGTCGTAGATGCTCAGATGGATGTTGCCTTCCTTCGTCCCAACCACCATGACATCGGCCATGTCATTATCTTCAGGGTCGAAGGGTCGGAAAAGTGCATCTAAAGAAGACCTGGAGCTAAAAACTTCATCTCTGGCGTAGAGCAATAAGTCAGAGTTCCCGAAAAAGAAAATAATAATAAAAAACACACTTACGAGGTTCCTCCTGCAGGGAGTACACTTAGCTTTGGCAGGCTAGGTTCAATGTCAAGGAGGGTGAGATCTTTCGGCAAGTCCAAGACGGCCTTCTCTGTTGACAGTTGCTTCTCATCCTCAAATATTTCCTTTAATGTATCTGGGACAAGCTTTGATGCTTTACTCTCAACTCTTCTACCAATTGTATTTGAACTCCAACTCATACACGTGACCCCAGAGAACTCCTGATCATCTGAAGTTGTAGAGAAATGGTGAACCACCTTTGTACTCTCTGCCCCTATGAGGCGTACAGATCCATCACTCCAGGCGATTGCTAGTAATTGGCCTGCAAAGCTATCAGTACGACATTATCGACGACTGGGGACGTTCGGTACCATTTGGTTTCCAGTTAATTTTTTCAACACGAAGAGTATTGACTTTCTGTGCAGCCCCATAAACTCTCTGTCCATTCAAACGGTAGATTAAAACTTGCTGGTCTGTGCTACCCAATGCTATCAGGTCCATCGACGGACAATACACGAGCAGTTTAGGATTCACCGTTTGATGCAAAGTTTTCTCGCCGAGTAGCTCGAGACGCTTGACCTCCACCATCTTGTCCGCTGGAATAAAATTGCATCTAAGACAGAAGGATTTTATCGATAAGGTGGCTGTTTTCACATAGCCCAGTAGCTGGTTGATAGTTTTACAAAAACTACGCGTTATGTAAATATCCACATTGTTGTAGTGAGTACGTAAGCGAGAGTTACAAAACGCTCGTTCTTTCCTTTTCATTATCAAAATATCTGAGCAGATACCCTTACCTGCGTCGTGCTGAGCCTAAATTTCAATTTAAGATGTACATTGTTTTTGATTGTGCAATACTGCAGAGTGATCATGCAAAACATTCCGCGAAATATTATAAAATATCAATAAGTTTTATATTCTACGGCTAGTAAAACAATAAAGATCATGGATTGCCATCCATCCTACGCCATGCACTTCAATCAGATCCCGTTCGTTTTCTGCGCCCATTTTCTTACTCCACCAGATAAGAATCAGCGACCGACTTGATATCCTTTGAGAAATCTACGGCCTCGTTTAGTTCTAGTAATGTGACTTCGGTAACCTGCATAAATGTTAGTATCTGACTGCCATTGAAGAGGTCGGGTATAACTTACATCAACATCAATAAAAGGCTTTGTTTTGGCAAATTTAATTTGCATTGGGAAGAAATCATTCTCATCCCCATCCTGGACTTCGAATTCAAAAGAGCCAGCTCCATTAGAGGAATCCACAGATCCAATCGTCCATTCAAGGCTATCCCCAGAGACTTCATACGTTGCGTCGAAGCTAGATACTGCGGGCTCGCTCGAGGCGTATGGAATAGTAACGGTAACATCCTGAAGAGGGTCCTCTCCTGTAAGTTCATATTCTACAGTAATGTTGAGAGGATCGCCTTGTCCACCAACAACCCATACAGTGAATTGAATTGGTAAGGCACTGGTGTCATCTGTCTTTGGTTGAGCTCTCCATCTTAGGACACCAACCGAATTATTGACAGGGAAGCCCTTCGAAACATTGCTCATTTGGATGGCTTTAGATCCATTGAATGCTCCCTTATCGACATTTGGATGCGTGCGGAATTGCACTCCATGACTCTGGTTGGCAACGATATCTAATTTGACCTTGGTAAGTGTAGGGTCTGAGATCCTCAAGTTCAAATCACCCTTAACCTCCAAGGAATTGAGTGATCCATCTCGAGATAATTTGGCATTGATCGACTCCGAGATAGTAACGTGAATAGCATCACGGTCCATTGCGGAGGGAGTGTGAGGGGTTTGTTCGGCAGCAGCTGGTGTAGGATGATTTGGAATAAGTGGCGATGAGACAGTTTCTTCTACTTCAGCACCCATATCTCCACGAACTCTTTCAAACATGTCTGTAGTCTTCGACTTCTTTCCCAATTGCATTCCTTTGCCTTTCGGTGCGCTAGCTCTGTGAATTGTCAGTGTCAATGATCTAGCAGAGACAATAGAATAGCCTACTTGAAAGTTTTATTTTTGGCAGCTTCATATGAATCATAGGTTTCGGTGTTTGCGGATTGCGTAGGTGGTGTGTATGTGGGATACTGTGGCCTACTTGGTATAGCACTTCTACCACTCCTTGAAACCTCCTTGCGCTGCATTTCCAATTGTTTTGCTTTGCGCTTGCGCTCTTCCGTGGCCTCGAGTTCTTTATTCTGAGATATCAGTTAGCTGATTGCCTGAGAATACATATGCACACAACCTACTCTTGAGATGATTTCTTGTATCCTTTCTTCATGACTCTCCATCTCCAAGAATGTCTTGATTTGGCTAATTGTAAGGTTTTCCCTGTATCCAAGTGTGACGATCTCGTCGAATGCACTAAGCAATTCGTATGCATTCTTTAAAATCTCTCTCTCATCCAAGGTTTTGCATGTGCTAGTGACCACCTGCGCGAATAGGTGCAAGGAATCGATATCTTGTAAGATGTTGGATTGCTTGTTCGTAATGAGGACCATGTATAATTCGTCCAGTGGCTGGTACACAAATCGCACATTGTCTTGCTCCACCGTCGTATGTTGAGTTCCAGAATCAGCCAACTTTGGAAAGGATGCTAGAAGAGCTTCAATTCTAGACCTTTGCATTTCGCGAAACTGCCTGGAGAGGACAGCTTTTCCCCCCCGGGTGCAAATCGAAGCTGCTAAGACAACCTGGGAATTTGTTAGCGAAACAGAAAACAGCAAAATATTAAATAGAGTGGCGCACCATTTTGAGTAAATGTCGAGTAACTACACCTTTCTCAATGCTGTCACTGAGTTTCAATGTAGACAGTTCAGATTGTATTGCAATGTGTATATCGGACAGTGAGCCAAACAATGTTCCGACATGGATCCGCACGTGATAGCTAAGCTAAAACAAACGCTAATTTAGCGTTAAGCCGTATGAAGCTCCAAAAGCGCGCTACCACACTTTCATCTTTCACAAGGGTTCCTAAATTATCTAGAACGACATCAACTCACTCAACACTCAACACTCAACGACACGTAATAATAGATGTGTTTAATTTAATCATTAGTTTGCCAATTGGTGGTATTTCAAATTCTTGATTCTTTGCTCATTTGTCCGACATTCCTTTGTCCTACCCGTCCCCACTGCGCACTAAAAACCCTTTCACATTTACTGTTACACGCGAAACCAAGAAATCGACCATATCTTATGCCTGGCAGCGTTATTCAAAAATCAACCTTTCACGCCTCTTACCAATAATCCCATTTTACTCTTTTCGACTTGAAATCAAATTCGGTATTTCCACCGAAAGCTTTGAAGCCACGAACTCATGAGTGTGTCGAGTCTTGCACACCCAACATTTCATACAATGGTGGATGACAGCATGGAGATAGCTTCCGAGCATGGGCACAATACAGCCGAGGAAGACATCGATATCGATATCGATCTCACTACTGGCAATGTTGACGAAGATGATATTCTAGATGATATCGATGCAGATGCAGACTTCGATACCAATATTACCGATGTACCCGCACATGTCGAGACAGACGATCTGATGGTCGACGATGACGGTGATGATGCATCATACCATATGGAGGATGCAGACTTACTGGAGGAGGAAGCCGATGATCACGTCATGGAACAAGAACCTGCTATTTTGTCGTTTGGAACCGATGAACCTTCCGACACTTCTTTTACTGAGCTACACGCCACAGAGTCAAATTTCGTTGGTACTGGCATTTCCGATCAATTTTGGGACGAGCCCCAAAATCTACAAGAGCCAAATGAAGTTATAAATGCGCAAGACATAGAAGTAAATATACATGGCTCAGAAACCGTAGTCGACAATAGCGCCGATAGTACAAAAAAATCCGATTCCAAGGACTCCATGGAGTTTGCACCTATTATATTTCCTCATCCGCCCACTGATGAAGACCCACAATCCAATAGCCCACCAAGCCCCAACTACGATGGCTCTACTCAAGAAGAGCTTGAAAACAATGTTAATGAGGCAACAAATTCCATCGAGGTACTTGATTCAAATATATATGCGGAGGATGGGGAACAACTTGGCTTGAGCACTGCATCTGCTGAAAGTGACCCAATCGATCTCCATTCACGTACCGAAGGACAAGTACAAGAGCAAAAACAAGAGCAAAAACAAGAACAAGAGCAAGAACAAGAGCAAGAACAAGAGCAAGAAGAAGAGCATCCAGATCTGAACACAGTCTCTGCGGAAAGTGGCTTGATCGACCTAAATAATGCTACACTCGAGTCTACGAAAGATTCGGAGCATCAATATCATGCTCGTGGAATAGTAGTCAAATACAACAACCGAAGTTATCCATTGATTAGGAAATCTTCCACAGATCATCCTAACGATTTCTTCTTCGAAGATTCCTCTGTAGTTGAGAAAACGTTAAATGAGTTTTGCTCCGAGATACGTAAAGTCCTCGCAGAGGAGAACTTGCCCCAAGATGACAAGATTAGCCTGGTTATCGAGGAGCTTCAGTTAGTGATTGAAGAGGTGGGTCTTGAAGATGTCCCACCATCATTCTTGGATTTTGCTAACTTTCTCTGTAGACGCAACTCACAAGCTACCCTTCCGATTTGAGCTTAGCCCAAATCATTCGCCTATATGAACAACTAGTCAACAATGACGGCACTGGAGAAATCCCCCCTTTGAATCTGAGACTTGTTATTCAGCCTACTGGTCCTGATAGATTTCTAGCGCTCTCAAAAGGGGCCGCTGAGGGCAAGGGACTACTCGAATATGTGACTTGGGACGCCGAAAGCGAAGATGATCCGACCGAGTTCGGAGATCAGACGGAACATTATGACAGCGAATCTTCCCCCGACGAGTACAACACCGAGCTCGAGGATGGAGACAAGTCTATCAAAACCATTGATACGCATGTCGAGAACTACGACCCTGGTTTCAATCATGACCAACCAAATCAAAACGTGAATTCTACCATTTCAGCCAGTGCTGAAATTCCTCAAGTGGAGCAGGAGGATAAGCAAGAAGCGATTGGAAATCAAGAGTTAGTATCTACAACGGATCGCAAATCACTCGAAACTTCGGAACAAACCAACAACGAGACTGAAGAAGAAGGGGACTTTATCGATTACGAAGATGAAGAGGACGCCGAGAAGCCCTCGGGCGATGGAGCTCTGAAGTCCGAATTGCCTGAGGCCAATGAAAGTAGGCTACAAAATGGTAGATACACCGATTTTAACTTGCTATGCCTTTTTCCTGATACCTGTTTTTGTTTCACTTGTAATGACCTTGATCTAACTGAACGTCAATCGGTAGAAAAAGAGTATCCTCGAAAGCTAGTCTCTAACAAAAAAGAGAATGGATCTGATGAATTAGACGACCAACTTGGCGACGAAACGACCCATACTGATGAAGCTGCACAACCCAAGGAAATATTTGACGACGTAGAAAGCGACATTGACTACGAAGAAGAGAACGCCGATAATAAGTTCAACGGCGAGGAAGAAGATGGAGCAGTACCAAATGAAAATGCAGAAGATGAGATCGACTTGAACGCCACCAATGACGAGGATCGTGAGTATGCCTCGTACGAAGATAATAACGAAAACGAACAACACGAAAGTGACAAAGGCTTTGAGTTAGCAGATAATAGACCAGAAGTACCTTGCGATGTTAATGAAATTGAGCAAAATGGAGACAGCGAAGGTTTTGATCTTGCGGATCATACTCTGGAAACAAATAACGTGGAAATTAGTTATGACGACGATCTTGGAGATGGACAGCAGCAGAATTTTGAGGGAGACGAGTTTGATTTAGGTGTTGGCGACGAAGAAACCGAGTTCCTCCAAAACTACCAATTAGACGATGACGACACTTTCAATGATAACGAACTCCTGAATATGTCTGTGGGCGAAGTTATCTCCAATACCAATGCTACCTTCGATGACACAGCAGCCGAGACAGACAGTGCTACGTTGAGCAACGCTTCGATCGCCGAACCCCAGACAACGAAGCTTAACCTCGACAATGGACAAGATCAAGAAGACGAGATCGATTACGATGAAGATGAAAACGAAAACGAAGAGAATCCCCCATCTCTAGTAGTTGCTCCTCAACCTCCAACCCCAAAGTTAAATGATTCACCCATTTCAACCTCAGGAAAGAGACCCAGAGCTGATGCAGACTTCGAAGATGGCGATGAATCGAACACCAATGGTGAGTACCATTTGAACTTTCTCAACCGGTTTAAGAATTGTGCTAATATTGAATAGAGGCTAAGCGAATTCGCTCATGATTTCAACATGCCATTGCAGATATTATTTGGTTCATACGGCATTTCTACTTGACTTGTCTAGTGTTTACCATTTTGATTATGTTCGCTTCCTCAACGTCTTCGAAGTGTTTCTATCGACTCTGTTTGACAGCTGACAGATAAAATATTCAACAACAAATTGGTGATTCGGAACAGCCTCGACACGTGAACCGATTGCAAAGAGAATTACGTCAACCGACAATTTCATCAGGTAGGTCTTTATAGGTATGATGATGTCAACCCCTTCTAATATTTCTCCCACCCCCTCATTCCCCCCTATTCATGTGATACTATTCAATTTCGCTCTCAAACTTCTAGCAATTGGTTCTATTGCATACGAAGTGCAGTTTACTGGCCGTGGTCGGATTTATAGGAGATCAAAATCTGGGGAATACATGCAAGGAATTTTCTATGGAGTTGGGGGTTCACAAGATATGTATATGCGCAATACCCCTTGATACAAGATGGTTTGGATTTCGTTGGTATGCAATTTTATGGAAAGCATATGGATGGAAAACGACTGTACTTTGGAGTGGTTGCTGTTTGCTTTGTGAGGGGTCTCGAAATTTGGCTATCTAGTCCGTAGGTGGTAAAAGTTTCTGTTGCAAAATAAAAGCACATTCATTACATTATCTAAGATTCAAAAACTCATGGATTGACCTGAACCTACAAATTTGAATGTTTCCATTGTCGGAATTTGAACCGGACATTGAAATGGAAACGGTTGTTCAAATTTAGCTCGGACATTCATCATCAATCTTTGAATTTAATCCAGACCTTGAGAATTCTAAGCATTCTAATTTTCCAACTTAATTGGAACATTGAAACCGTCGAAACTTTGTCATCTGGGTACGTGTATACGTAGAACAGCACCGCTCGTAATGTCAGATCCTCCACATGCAATTCCAATAGCATTTAATCCCAAGAAAGCCAGTCAATCCATAAGTTTGTCAATTACAATGGACAAAACTAGCCACTTAATAATACACCTCATGCTGGGTACTGGGTAAGCATTCCTTGTTGGAAGAATTTGATGGCACAGCCTCATAGACCCATTGCGTGCGCGTCAAAGATCCCTACAATACGACATTTAAGTTTTAGCACATCCGAATCGTTTCTTTAATACCAACCAACGCGACGAATATCAATTGAGCTGCAAGTAAATGTAGAGTTTTTATACTGACTTCAGATCTACATGGACCTATGGGGGTATCTGTAAGTGGTACATCTGTTACAGAATACTTTAATATAGCATAACGACGGGTAGGGAAGAAAAGGGGCCAAAATCGCCAAAATCGTTCTTGAATTCTGAGGGTAAGGGTACGAGGTGTATATAGTATAATATAATAGAACACATGGAGAGCATACGTAGAGTAGAACATAGCATATTGATATAATATCTTGTGATCAAGCTCTACCTCTACCTCTACCTCTACCTCCGCCTCTACCTCCACCTCTACCTCCACCTGCGTACTTTACTAAAATTCGAAATTCGAAATCCAATTTTGTTTTACTGGAGTACTCCGTGTACTAAATTTAGAGGAACTATACCTGGGTAGAGTAGCAGCTAGCTAGACCTACCTACCAACTACCTAGCCTGTCCACGGGCGAGCCAGCCCAGCCAAACACAGTTGGCCCAAACAGAGAAATAGGTCAAAGTTCTATGAACCACCTGCATTCAACCACTCAACCATTCAATCTCTCAAAGTAAATGAAAGAAAGACCTTGACTTTTGTAGTTTCATCTCTTTCTTTTCAACCACCTGCCGCTTGCTTGTACAGTGAAAGTACAGATAGTGCTACCCAAATCGCAGATTTCCACCCTGGAACTTTCTACCTCAAACCTCACTTCAAGCTTTCAACTTCAATCCTCAATCCTCGACCTCCAAATTTCGAACATCCGGAATTTTATAAAAAGTCATCCCACATTGCCAAGAACTTCGTGACTTCAATTATCCAGTATTTCGAAATAATCCTTCGATCCGCTCCTTGGATTTCATTCATTCATCCATTCATCCATCCAATAAGTCACCATTGAATTAAAAAAAAATCATTCATTATTTGTTGCCTCGGTCGACAGGCATTCGAACTACAGAATTATCACTAAAGCTAGGGGTGAAACTATCTCATGACACTCCACGTCGACTTGCGATCATCACACTCAACAATTTTGCGAAGAACGCTCTACGCCGATAATTAGACTCAAAGAAGTCCCACGATTTATTTGCGCCGATCTATACACTTGCGCTACCCTCACTTTGATATCCTTACGAGGTCTTTCATGAGCGTGAGCTCAAAGGCTCAACGAATCAAATAACCACCTTGCAACACCGCTGGGAGAGAAATCTCAACTCTGCGCAGTCAAGATGTTGGAAGACAAGTATGTCAATGGCATCCGGAACCCGATCAATCGCGCATGAGTTATGCTGGGCATTTCCAACAGGCAAAGGCTGACTGGTGATAAAGATACATAGGGCTGGCATTAGCCGTCACCTCAACTATGGCGATAGGTATGAATTTACAGATTATGGCGAAGAAGAAAAAATGAGACTAACATTGCGTCTTCCTGACAGGCACAAGTTTCGTCATAACTAAAAAGGTACGAACATTCACATTTCAGATATTTATTTGTAATCATTTACTGACGATTACCTTAGGGGCTGATGGATGCCGAGGAAAGACACGGTTTTGAAGGAGATGGATTCACATACTTGAGGAGTCCGATATGGTGGGGTGGCATAATAGCATGTACGGATCAACTTGCATACCACGCGGGGAAAATTAGCTAATAGGATATGAACAGTAATTGTCGGAGAAATAGCAAATTTTGCAGCATATGCGTTTGCCCCAGCAATTTTGGTCACACCTCTTGGAGCGCTCAGTGTTTTGATCGGAGCGGTTCTAGGGTCATACTTTTTGGATGAGAAACTTGGTACCTTGGGGAAATTGGGCTGCGCGACGTGCTTGATAGGATCGGTCATTATTGTTCTTCACGCGCCCCCGGACAAGGAGATCAAGAGGATTGATGAGATTCTTCACTATGCTATCCAACCAGGTATGCCAAAAAGCCCCCTCGCTTCTGAAGCATGCTAATATCGACAGGATTCCTTTTCTTTTGTCTTTTCGTTGCAGTTTTTGCAGTCGTTATGATATACAAAGTCGCCCCAAAGTATGGCAAGAAGAATCCTCTAGTTTACTTGTCAATTTGTTCAACTGTCGGCGGTGTTTCAGTCATGTCAGTAAAGGCATTTGGTATTGCAGTAAAGTTGACATTGGGTGGTGAAAATCAATTCATCTATCCCTCAACCTACGTCTTTATTATTGTAACTGTAGTCTGTATCTTGACACAGATGAACTACTTCAATAAGGCATTGAGCCAGTTTCCCACTTCTATGTAAGTCATGTCCAATTTTGAGCTCGTTCTTTGATTCTGACGTCTACCCAGCGTAAACCCACTTTACTACGTTACTTTCACAACTGCAACACTTACCGCCTCATTCATCTTGTACGGCGGTTTCAACACTTCTGATGCGGTCAACACAATTTCCCTCCTATGCGGATTCCTCGTCATTTTTACAGGGGTTTACTTACTCAACGTCTCGAGAACTGACCCTGAAGGAAACAAGATGGTCTCCGGCACAGACGGTATAGCAACCGACCCTCTTTCCGGCTTATCGACGAGACGAAGTATGCAGGCCCGCCGAAGTAACGATCCGCACAGGATGAGCATGGGAAGCAATGGATATGGCCGAGGTGACAGAGAGGGGTTGATCCATGCATATGATGAAGAAGAGAACGTAGGATTCGGTCTTGCGGACCTAGCAGACGATAGCGACGACGATTCGCTGCCTCCACGAGCTATGAATGGGAAAATCAACGGGCATAGCAGTAAAAAGAGTTTCAGCGAGCCATTAGAGCAGGAGAGGCCGGGCAGATCGTCCAATCGGTGACCTCTCCAATAGGAATAACAGTTTGTTTGATGTGATGACACACGTTTCGAAACTATTGCGGAAAAGTTCGGGCTGTATATTTTATATGCTAAGGGTTGGAATTTACTCGTGAAGGTCGTGCGTGTTTTTTTTTGTTTCATTAGAATATCATTTTGGTGGCAGGCTGGTCTGCTGGCTGGGGGTATATCTCAAAGTACGACTGCATGAGGATCAGGCGTTTGGGTTGCTATTGTGTACAAAACGAGACGGTTGGGGGAAAGACATCTATCTGTACGATATATACATGGGTGAATCAAGGAATGGGCTCTTATGAGGCGCTTTAAACTTAGTTTGACTCTCACTTTTGAATGCAAGCTAAGGTGGTGGCATTTGGTATCACATTTAATAGTATCATGTAACATTATTTTCAAGTGTTTTTAAAGCCGTAAATTTCGTTGGCTAGATGTGAATACAAGTCCGTGAACTATGAACTCGCAGGAAACGCCCATCCTATTTTACTATTCCATAAATTTATTCCTCTTGGGGAGCTGGAGCAGCCTCTTCACCAGCCTGTTCCGATGAGCGAGCGGCCTCAGCAGCTGCTTGAGCAGCGGCAGCCTTCGCACCGTAATCCTGGCTCATAGGTTGAACCACACTTTGCTCCTCCTTTGGCTCGATAATGGTGACGGAATCTGGGAGACCCTTGGATGGTCCAGACTTTCCTTCTGGGTCAGATCCTCTCATGATCTTGACCTTGATACCGAGAACACCTTGCTTGAGGAGAACGTGACGGGTAGCGTGGTCAATGAAGTCCTTTGCTGGTTGACCGGAGTGGATCATGAAACCATCAGTGAACTTCATGGACTTGGCACGAGCAGCACGTAATTTTCCAGAAACGACAACCTCACAACCCTTAGCTCCAGACTCCATGATGAATCTGAGAACACCGTAGCATGCTCTGCGGACGGCGAGACCGTTAAGGAGCTTGTATCTGAGGGATTCGCATTGAGCGACGGCGGAGAGACCACGGTTTTGGACCTTGGCGGCGTAGAGGGAAACGCTGTTCTCTGGGAACTTGAAGCGCTTTTGGATGAGGGAGGTAAGTTCGCGAATGCGGCGTCCTTGCTCTCCGAGAACTTCTTGAGTGTGGGTTGCGCGGATGATGATGTCGGTGACGGTTGGGGTGACACGGACTTCGACACCGGAGTATCCCTCCTCAGCCAACTCGCGTTGGAAGAACTCGTTCAATTCGGCGTAGAAAACACCATCGGCGACGAACTTTCTGCGCTTGGAGCTGTACACAAGAAATTCATGATTAGCCCCGCGAACTTTTTTTCTTGTTGAATGTTGAATGAGCTGTAGCAAGGGCAATTTCTTACATAGCGGCACCTGGAACACTGGAAGCCATATTGTCTGATTTATGAGTTATGAACCGGTGGGAAAAAGGTTCAACGTCGTCGTCGTGATTGTCGTGTGGTCGATGGTCGCGAGTTCGAAACTGAATCTTGTTAATTTTCCTACGAATTCCTAGCGTATGTGGGATTTTAAGCGAATTGGAAGATAACAGCCTTTATTACAAGGCTCAAATAATTTTCACAAGGCTCACAAATTAAAGCCCCACTAGACCCCCATGTGGCATGAGCCGTATAGCTACAGCCTGATTGGAACGCCAGGGATGCTACGTAACTGATATGATATCGAATTTCAGTTCATGAAGATGATCAAATATCCATAATACAGCCAAAAATTATTCAAAAATATCTAAATAACCGCCCTCAGAACTCAGAATAAATTACAGAACTAGACTGCGAAAGAAGACTTTTAAAATTACAAATGATTCATATTATTTATACTACAACCGAGTGCGCCGAGCCATAAATAAAAATGGCAGACAAGCTCAAGATATCAAAGGTTGGTCAAACATTGAACTCCTGCCGCGCAATTGAGAGTTGATCAACTAACTTTTGTAATCACTTCATAGGTGGATGACGTTCAGGTAGTAGCTCGGGGGCAAGCTTCTAACGTTACACTGCACTTAACAGCACATCATTTAATCGTAGTTCAAGCACCTCTTCCTCCGCCGGAAACTTCGCAACAAGCATCGCCAACGCAAAAGCGCACAGGGGCTCCGGTCAGGACGAGGGAGTCATGGATAGCATATCCTATGATAGCATACTGTACATTTCGACCAACTTCGCCAGGATCTGCACAAGCTTCTTCTATTCGTCTCCGGGGTCGAGATTTTAATTACTATACTCTTAATTTTGCGGATGACAAGCAAGCTCGAGAAACATTCGAAAGCTTGAAGAACTCAACGTGCAAGTTGGGTAGTATTGAAAGATTATATGCCTTTAGTTACAAAGCGCATGGGGTGGAAAAGCAGATAAATGGGTGGGATGTATACGATCCGAAGGCAGAATGGAAACGTTTGGGAATAAGTGAGAAGGGGGTTGACAGAGGATGGAGGTTGTCTAAGATGAACCACGATTACGCCTTCTCTCCCACCTACCCAGCCCTACTCCCAGTTCCTTCATCTGTCTCCGACATCACAATTAAGCATGCTGCCCAGCACCGTTCGAGGGCCCGGATACCGGTTCTGACATATCTGCATCCTGTCAATAATTGCGCTCTGACAAGATGTTCACAACCTCGGACCGGTATGCGACAAGCCCGCAGTGTACAGGATGAGAAGTTGGTTAGCGCATGTTTTTCAGCAACATCACAGGTCGATGAGGTGGACTCGGCATCTCCAGCGGCATCTAGAAATAGTCCAGCTTCCAGTCAAGCCGATATCAGTACGCCGAACAATGGAGAAGTGACAGACACGGAACGTTATGAGGATGAGATGCTTGCATCTGCGTCAAATATCGAGATCATAACTGAGAAACCTCAAGTGTATGGGGCACAGCAGAACAATCTGATTGTGGATGCAAGACCTCAGGTTAATGCTTACGCTAACCAAGTAAATGGCTTTGGTACGGAAAAAATGGAATACTATCCACTTGCTAAGAAAGCATATTTGAATATCGCAAATATTCATGTTATGCGAGACTCTCTGGCGAAAGTGATTGACGCTATTAAGGATGCTGATGTGTCCCCTCTTCCTCCAAATCGAGAACTCTTGGCAAAGAGTGGTTGGATAAAACACATCACTGGTATTCTTGATGGGGCGGCATTAATCGCCAGGCAAGTCGGTATACAACATTCGCATGTCCTCATTCACTGCTCAGATGGCTGGGATAGAACGAGTCAGCTGAGTGCTCTATCCCAGTTGATGCTCGACCCTTACTACAGAACTATAGAAGGATTCATAGTACTAGTAGAAAAGGACTGGCTAAGTTTCGGGCATATGTTTCAACATAGATCTGGATTCTTAAATCATGAGAAGTGGTTTGTAACACAAAACGATGCTCTTGCTGGCTCAGCAATACAGCCAGGTGGGAACACTGACGGGCGCGGAGATGCTATCGAAAATGCTTTGCTAAGCGCCAAACGATTCTTTAATAAAAGTAACCACAGTCAAGAGAATGTCGATGAAGCAGATGAGGTTACAGTTGATCAATCTCCCAAGAGACCTATTTTAGACACGCTCCCTCAAAGTGATGTTACCAAGCCCAATGAAACTAGTCCAGTCTTCCACCAGTTCCTAGATGCAACCTATCAGCTTCTCCGTCAACATCCTACTCGCTTCGAATTTAATGAAAGATTCCTTCGCCGACTTCTCTATCACCTCTATTCCTGTCAGTACGGGACATTCCTCTACAACAATGAAAAGTCTCGTGTAGACGCCCGCGTCAAAGAACGCACCAAGAGCGTCTGGGCATATTTCTTGTCCAAGAAACCCGAATTTACTAACAAGGACTACGACGGAGAAATAGATGATCACGTTAAAGGGAAAGAACGCTTGATCTTCCCTAATTTAGAGGATGTAAGATGGTGGCATCAAGTGTTTAACCGCACTGACGAAGAAATGAACGGACCGCATAATCCTGCCATGGAAAGATATCTAGCACTCAGTGCAAATAACAGTAACGGACTTAACACAACTGCAAGTATAAGCTCGCCGCCAGGAGCGCCACCAAGTCGCACGGTTCTTGCGGGCCTGGAAGCGGGAACTCCGACGAGACGAGGTTCAAATGGGACGACGACTGTTAGTGGCAATCCATTCGCAAGTCTGAGAGATGGAATTGCGGGGCTGGGAATTGGGAAGGCAACGGGGTTGGGAGGCTTGGGGGCATGGGAAGTGCGAACCAGAGCGGTCCGGCAAGTCTGAATGGGAATAGTAAGGAAATGGAAATGGAAGTTGAGATGCAATGATGATATCATACGACTGTTAGTTTTGGGATGGATGATTAGGAAATTGCCTATCCAGGCTGGCGTTTAAACCGAGCTGGGAAATGTATGTTTCTGAGAGACGGGGGAAAGGAAGGAAATAGGAGAAGGCATTCTTCTAATTATATCTCACCAAGGCACTGTAGGAGTAAAGGCGTACTGGTAGAGATACGTTGTCAAAATGACGAAAAAATGTTATAACGTTTCATAATTTTTTGATACTTTTTACTCATTATTCATACATCGGACACGCTATTCTAGTAGCTAAATAGCAAAAGTAAAGCCGCGAATCAATGCCTTCTTTTGGGAATATTCTAGCTCGCCTTTTGGCCTATGTGCGATTGATGTGATTTGATGGCTTATAAGAAGACTTCGAGATTGATCTCCAAAGTACTGACAGGATATCTGGTGTCTATTAGTATGTTACGTTCCCCAATCTATAAGCAGATATAGACTTACCTCAATTCGAATTTATCCAAAACGGTAGGATGCAAGATACCAAACTCTCCAACACGCACCTCCTTGCCTCCCAGCCGCAAATAGATCGCAGCCGCATGACCAGCAAAGAAGGTTGGCTCATCAATCTCCTCAATCCAGTATCCATCTGGTTTTGTTGGGTTCTCCTTGATTGCGAATTCCTGTTTCTTGCCCTCTAGCCCCTCCTCATGTGTAATGAATGCGGTTTGCAACATAAGCAGAATGCGATCAAGTAAACCATGGACAACTTCGAAACCACTGGTTTTGCCGTACCAGGCTGCTGCAAAATGACGCTCATTTCGCGATTTACGCTCCAAGCTCAAATCTTTAAACGCAACGTCAGACACTTCGAAGACTTTGAGGGGGAGACTGTGCTTCTTATTTTCACGGATGGTTTTGAGGAGACCGGGGAGGAGGGATGTGCGGACAACTTGATATTCAGCGGTCTTGGGGTTGGCAAGTCGAACAGCTGTAGTGCCATCATCTTTGCGGTTGAGCCAAGCGAAATTCTCGTCGTGAGAGCAGAGAATTAGAGGCATGACTTCGCTCCAGCCTGCCATGGCGGTTTCCGTTCTAACTATGTCACCAAGTTTGTTGATTGGAAGGGGTTGAGCAATTGTGGAGGCTTTGTTTGGGGATGTACGGGGAAGATTGTTGAAGCCGTAAGCAATAGCCACGTCTTCCATGATGTCACATTGGTGAAGAACATCGGCTCTGGTTGTTGGTATCGAGACGTCCAGTAAATTCTTATCCTTTGAGGAGGGTTTCGCGGACAAGCACATTCTCTTAAGAAGCTCACAAATCTTTTCTGGGGATTCGGAGAGACCACAGCAGTTGTTGATATAGTCGACCTCAGCCTCAGTTTCCCGTGGGCTGAGATTAGGAGTTGTTCGGGTTTCCTGGTTGTGCTCCGAAATAATCTCGACGGGCTCAATTGTGAATGGTTCCGCGCAGTATTGAGAGAACATAGAAACTATGATATTGTTTACGATCTCTAGTTTTGTGCGGTCCGTACCAGTCATCTCGATGAAAACATTCTTGGTATTCAAAGTAATCTTGGAATGATCTCCATTAATGATTGGAGGCATAGACATGACAGTGCGATTTGAGTCGTAAATGACTGGATATACTGGTTTGTCCCGAATAATGTGTAGGTATTTTCCCAAGTGTTTGTCGTTCTCATAAAATTGCATTAATTCCTCCGCGTTCATCTCCTTAGTTTGGTTCAAAGGTGTGAAGACGATATCTTTTGGTGGAAGTGCCTCGTATGTGAAAGGTCCTTTGACTGTATCCATATCATGCGTACCAATCGCAACCAAGGTGCGCTGTCGGGCAAGATTCTGGTGTAGCTTGTCTTGCAGCGAAATGAAGGAGTCATAACCATCTTGAGTGAAAGTAACATTTCGTAGGATCGACGCCGAGACATATGGTCGCACTTTCATAGTATCTTGGTGAACTGTCAAGGTCTCTAAATTTCCACTCTCAGGTTTAACCAATCTATAGTTTGGGAAGGGTGTCTTCTCTCTGAAGATATTCAGCATGAGAGCTATGCCCTCAAAACAGAGCATATCATATCGATTCGCGGGGATTTCGATTTTAAGTTGTGCAGGTTCTTGCTTTCCGTTGACTATTGGTCTTTCCGAATTTGATGTGTCCTCGTCCAATTCAATTCCAAACTCGAAACATAACTCTTCGAACTCCTCTGTGGTATACCTAAGGTATAATTTAGTTTACTACAACATATATGGCAAGCTGCGAAGTCACAAAAATTGTTTACTCACTCTTGCCCGAGAGCTTCGTAGAGCTTCGCTTTATCAACGCTGATGGTGGGCATCTTGACTGATTAGTTGCGGTTGCAATATTTGCTTCACAGTTTCTTGAATCAATATGAGCAATGAGTTATGAGTCGAAATAATTATTGGTGGGGTTGTATCAGAGGGGTCTGAACTGAGAAGTATACATATGTGCCTGAGGCTCACATATCAATGGGTCAATGGTTGATTCTCAAAGGTTCAAACTCACCGAGAGCTGTCGCTGCCAACCAACATTAAAACTACCACCTCTTCTGAATTTTAAAGCGTTTGTCCAGCACCGCTACTTCGAATTTCAATTTCATCCTCTTTGCAGCAGTGTGTTTTAAAGGTACGTTTTGTATAAGTTTCTTTCACTATCAAATCAAAGTCTGGATCTGTTTACAAAGAGTCCTTCGTTGCTTCCCCCACCATATGCCACCCAGATAATCTCGTAGACCTCACTGACATGTCATCGGCAGTCCCTAGGTCTGGATTATATCATAAGATTTATTCACCTCTCCCGCTTTTTCTTAGTCCCGGAGATTAATTACAAAGTTCCGTCAATCTATCAACAGGAACCAACGACCACGCGATAACCTCCTAAATATTCTCAACCACGGATACAGAGTAAACAAATCCAACACCTCACCCTATTGAACCTCTGAATTCACTCCCTAAAAACTTTTACATATCTTCACAATGGCGGACGCTCCAGATAAGACTGACGAGCTCTATCCCATAGCTGTTCTCATTGATGAATTAAAGGTATTGAACCAAGGCGCATCACCTTCGAAGGACAAGGCTTTGTTGCGCAGTACTGATAGCTTACTAGCACGATGACGTTACTTTAAGACTGAATGCCATTCATCGACTATCAACGATCGCCCTCGCACTTGGAGCAGATCGCACAAGAGACGAGTTGATTCCTTTCTTAGATGGTATGCCGTGCGATATGGAACTACATTTTAGTACAATGGTTGACGATATTATGTAGAATCCGTCGAAGATGAAGACGAAGTTCTCACAGCTTTGAGCGAGGAACTCGGAAACTTTGTAGAATATGTTGGCGGGCCAGAGTTCGGTCATGTTCTTCTGTCACCCCTCGAAAACCTCGCGGCCATCGAGGAACCCTTGGTGCGAGAAAAGGTTTGTCAATAGTAGTGACATCTAGTTATAGCTATGCTGACTGGATTAGGCCGTGGAATCTTTGAATAAGATATGCGAGGAGCTATCCTCACAACAAGTCGAAGAGTACTTCATTCCCCTCACGATTCGACTCTCAAAAGCCGACTGGTTCACCTCAAAGATCTCCGCCACAGGATTATATAACGTACCATACAAAAAGGCGTCGCCTCCAATGCAAGAGCAGCTCAGGCAACAATTTGGCCTTTTGGTTCATGACGAAACCCCTATGGTCCGAAGACAGTCTGCAAACAACTTGTCGAAATTTGTGAAGGAAATGCCCGCTACAATAGTTGTGGAAGAAATGATACCCTTGTTCCAGCACCTTGCCGGCGACGACCAGGATAGCGTACGTTTATTGACAGTAGAGATTTTGATTGCAATTGCGGAAGTCGTACCAAAGGAGCAGCAATCAAGTCATGGAGTTCTACTCACAGCCTTGAGGAGTTTAATCGAAGATAAAAGTTGGAGAGTGAGGTATATGGTAGCTGATAGATTTGAGAAGGTTGGTTTTACTCGGATTGTACAATTCTGGTGGACAGTGCTAATGCAGTACAGATTGCAAAAGCAGTTGATGATGAAGTTGTAACAAGAGATCTTGTACCAGCATTCGTCAAGTTATTGAAAGACAGTGAAGCAGAAGTACGTACAGCAATTGCTGGTCAAATCCCTGGTATGTCTGGTCATTCCTGTTTTCCAAGATACCACACTAAACAAAAGGAAAGGTTTCTGCAAACTTGTCGATCACACCACTCTCTTGAACGACATCATGACTACTGTCGAAGATCTGGTTTCTGATACTTCTCAACACGTTCGGGCTGCTCTTGGTACCCAGATCAGTGGCCTTGCACCAATTCTTGGCAAGCAAGAGTAGGTTTTTTTTATATCCAGAGTTTATGATCTTTATGCTTACAATCTCTATAGGACCATCGATCATTTACTCCCGATGTTCTTGCAAATGCTTAAAGATGAATTCCCAGATGTCCGTTTACATATAATCTCCAAGTTGGAGTTGGTGAACCAAGTCATTGGCATTGATCTCCTCTCACAATCCCTTCTTCCTGCTATTGTACAGCTTGCTGAGGATAAACAATGGCGTGTCCGCTTGGCAATCATTGAGTACATTCCTCTATTGGCCAGCCAACTCGGTGTTCAATTCTTTGACGAGAAGTTGGCTGCCCTCTGCATGGGCTGGCTAGGAGATACAGTCTTCTCTATCCGTGATGCGGCAACAAAGAATTTGAAGAAACTCACCGAAGTTTTTGGCGTCGATTGGGCAAATGAAGCCATCATTCCAAAAGTTATGGCTATGGGAGCTCATCCAAATTATCTTTACAGAATGACCACCTGCTTTGCAATTACAGTAAGCTTCAGATTTTGCCCCTTGCTCAAAATATTCTAACCTTATCCGCAGACACTTGCACAAGTTGTCAGTCTCGATGTCGTCTCAAATTCTATCCTACCTATGATGGACAAATTAGTAGCCGACGAGATTCCAAATATTCGTTTCAATGTCGCCAAATCATACTCTGAGATTATCTCAGTTCTTAAGAGATTGCCAGACGAGGGTACCGTGTATTCGCTAGAGAAGTCTGGTAGCTCAGAACCGCCCTCGGCTAGAGGTCAAGAACTTATCCAAGAAAGAATTTTACCAAATTTGGAAAAGTTACAAAAGGATGATGATGTCGATGTTCGATTCTTTGCTACTACGGCCGCAGCTTCTATTTCTGGTGAACCTATGGAAACCTCATAGATAAGGAGGGTAAAGATGTCGCATATGGGAACAAAAATGTATCTTTTCTGCGCCAGTAGGTTGAGCATGGTGGCCTTGCTGTTTTCCTGTTATTCTAGATCGGAGCATGAAATCCAGCATAGTCCCTTCTAATAAGTTTTTGATAAGCAACCTCCCTCATATGCAGATGGTAGGCCATAAAACCGTAGAGAAACAAATCAAATGAGAACGATATACTAAATGATTTAATGTTTGTGATCATGAATTGTGAACCACGTATCTCTCGACTATGGCAATGCAGTCTCTCGAGAGTCTCGACTTTATTAGGCGGTGAACCAAATTATTCTGCCGCTATCGAGGATACCCACCCTCGATACACTGATGCCATTATCTCCTGCACAACATCTTCCCTCAAGACTGAGTAAAATCGCAATTGAAACAAATCGCATTTCAAAATGACCTCGAAAGCATCTAAGCCATCACAACTCGATCCGTCAGCTCTAGGTACAAAAGAATAGTAAGTATGTCTTATGCGCTTTACAGATGATTTACCCCTCCATACTACCCCTCTATTACACAAATTTTCTCCTTCCTCGCACCGTACTTGCTACCTAGCACATACGCATCCTCCTAAACTTTCTCTAACACCCAAAGCCATATTCGTTAACAAAGAAGCTTAGTTGGGATAATCTCTATAACCGTGAAATTTCAAACCACGCACTCGACGCGACGGATGTAGGAACGATATGGTTTGATGATTCATCTGCGGAGGATAAAGTTGTGGATTTCTTGAATGGAGAGGTTTTCGAGAAGGACTTATTGGGATTGGGAAAAGGGAAGAGGAGAAGAGATTATGGACTGCTGGATTTAGGGACGGGAAATGGCCATTTTTTGGTTAGGCTGAGGGAGGGAGAGGAGGATAGTGACGAGGATGAGGCGGAGGAGGAAGAGGAAGAGGAAGGGAGGGAAAACGAGGAAACGGGAAAGAAATGGGTGGGTAGAATGATGGGTGTGGATTATTCAGAGAGATCTATTGAATTTGCGAAACGAATTGCGAAGGACAAACTAGAGAGCCGGGAGGAACAGGGGAGCGAACAGGGAAACGAAATCGAATTCATCACCTGGGATATAATGAAAGAAGATCCCTCTCCAAAAGTCCTAAATGGAGAACAGGCAAAAGGATGGGATATAGTACTTGACAAAGGAACATTTGATGCTATTAGTTTGTCGGAGGAGGTAGATGCGAATGGGAAAAGGATTTTCGAGGGATATAAGGAGAAAGTGCTGGCATTAGTGAGAACGGGCGGAGTGGCGGTCGTTACGAGTTGCAATTGGACAGAGGAGGAACTGATTGAGTGGTTTGTTGGAAAGGGAGAGGAGCAGGGAGAAAGGTTTGAGGTACTGAGGAAGATTGAGTATAGAAGTTTTAGTTTTGGAGGAGTGAAGGGCCAGACGGTATGCAGTGTTTGCTTTAGGAAGTGCGGGGGGAGCGAATAAATACTGGGAAAATCGTACCCAGAAGGTTGTATTGAGGGCTACTGCACGTGGTGTGTGGTTCAAGCACGAACGAAGGCTGCAAACTCGACGAGGCTATAGACTTGCTCTTACTGCAAAAATAATCATTGAAGACTAATATCTATATCTATATAAATCCCACTCCAGTAGTGCTTGCACGGGAAGACCTTCCTTGAATTACAAGCATGGCATATACAATTTCTCATTTAATCGAGACGTTCTAAATGCACAAATATCCGAGAAACTAGATTTTGAAATCTCGCTCCCAGTTAGTCTCACAGTTCGCTTCGCTGTGATGTCTCTTTGAGTGTATGAAGTGTCATTTATGTTCTATATATCTCTGTCAGGTATGTATATAAACCTTTACATACCTATATAATGAGACGCTTCATTATAATGGATAGTAAAGTTTGGTTCGTATTTCAATTCGTCCGAATAGTAAAATACTGTTCGTCTCAAGTGACAAGTCAACTCCATACCCTAGACTTCCATTAGAATTGTACTTTCCAATTGTGAAAGTAATTAGCCCACCGGAGTCGAATCAACCTGGGCCTCATAAGACTCCTCGATGCCCCCAGACATGAATATGATAATCAAGATCCCTCGGGCCTGGATGCTCTAGGCTGTCATTTTGATGTGCATCGTGTGCGGTTCACTAAAGTCATCGCGGCCTTCAAACTCTTGAGCGCAATTCATATGATTGCGACGTCAAGGCGCAACTGCTAAGGCCTCATGAACCTTGAAATATAGAAGCTTGAAGCCCATATTGCATGAAATTCGTGTGTGAGACGTTATTTCTTCCGGGTCAGGAAGTCATTCCAGTCATTCCGATTTAGCCCATTCATTATCTCCTCCCATTATTCTTTTTCTTGTTGTTTCCAACACTACCAGTGACATTAGTTCTAGGTTCGCTGAGCCCAGCACGTCTTAATCTCCCCAAGAACTTTTCATCATCCAGTTCCTCTCTTGATATGATAAAAAGCGCTCTTCAAATCGGTCCCATATCACGAGGACCACATGGTCGTGCATCACCCCTTGCCTTACGTTTTTCAAAATATGACTGGAAACAGGATTTAATTGCTGTTTCGACCGTCATTTCTTTGAGGCCTTCAACTTCTAGGGCTGGAGTGTGGGCTTATATGATGCTCCGAGTCTCCCTCAAACTCGAGCTCTTCAAGCTCTGGTATTTCAGCCAAGATTGGTGAAGGCACTATCGTACCTTTGATCCGAGCAGCTTCCTCCAACGTAAAATAAGGTCCACTGATATAGAATTCATCAGTTGGATTCTGAGTTCGTGCTTGGGCTGCATGATCGTTGGCGATGTTGTGCAGGTCGTGGAGGAGAACACGAATCTATTGGCCAATTAGAAATCTTCGGTGGTTGAAGACGACAAGGAGCAAGGGACAGGGGATGAGAGAAACCCACTTTATACCAAAGATCATGATCTGCTTGAAGATCTGACATGGAATTTGTAGAAGCACTCACGTGCTCTGAAACAAAGCTATTCATCAATTGACTTTTTTTCTTGCTCATGTTTGGTATGCTCGTTTTGATTGTCTTAGGTTTTGAAATGATATTTACATGTGAGTGTGTGGGCAGAAGTCATTGCAAGTTAATTAGTGGATGGGTTAATGGGTCTTTTAGTAGTTCCCAGCGAACTACCGAAACACTCACCGGGAGTAGAATTGTAACAAAGCTCACTGGGGAACTTCCTACAATCATCCTAAATTCTTCTTCTCAAGAGTAAATCACTTCTTGAATTTAATTCTGAGCTCGTACGGTTGCGATTCGATGTCAAAATGAGAATATTCTATTGAGTTGACTAGAAATCACTGGTAAGGCTAGACTAGTGCTTAGTTTTTGGGATCAGTGGTACCGATAAAATAGGAGCCTTGCATGCAGGGCTGACAGCCTCATTAACAATATTACATAATCTCTTCTAGATGAGCATCCATCAATGAACTCCTCGTCGATTCTCAACCACAAGCAACAAACAGTTCCTCCAAAGATTTTTCATATCAAATCACTCTCAAAAATGGCGCCAGTCAATAACGATGACCACAATGTCGTTACGAGTAAGTTTTCAACAATCCGTATACTCTACCATCATCATACTAACACTTACAGACGAAATCAAGAATGTTATCCAAGACTTGTATGAAATAATGATACAAACGCATAATTACGACAGCGTCGGACGACCAACTCGTGATATTCTTGAAAAGTCTCTCCTCCAACTCTCAACTTCTCTCCAAATCGTTTCTCATGCCACGGTTCCCGCTGGGCCTCCGACCGGAAAACCCCAGTTTGATAGGGTTGCGGGAAAGGCCACGGATCTCGCATATGTTCCACAGGATGTGATACACTACATAGACAATGGGCGGAATCCAGATATTTATACGAGAGAATTTGTGGAGGCGGCGAGAAAAAACAATCAGTTGATGAGGGGCAAGATGCAAGCGTTTGGAGATTTCAGGGATGTGCTTGCCGGAGAGATGGAAAAGGTGTTTCCAGAGTTGGAGGATGATATTAGGATGGTTGTAGATTATACTACTGATGATAAGGAAGAGAAAAAATAAGTAGGCGCCGCCTGGCTACATTACATGGGCGCGAATAGGTTACGAGGACATGGGAGAGCGATGAGAGACGGGGAATGGTTATAGGATCGCAGCTGCAGGGCAAATCAACGGGACGGAGGAAAGGGAGTTTATTAGAGAGGGCAGGTTTCTTGCCGGGTGAATAGAGTTCCTAGGAATTAGGATATTGGGATTATGGGGCATTCAAGGGCTGGATTCGCATGGAGTTCCGGAAGATACAAATGTGGGACATTGGAGTCATGGGCAATAAAACGAATGGAACATGATACCAACACGATGGTACTCAAAACGAAAGGAGTTTCGGTACAAGTACCGATCGGCTAGAAAGGATAATCATGGCACAAATGACATCATTCAGGTAGCTCATCTCATTTACTCATTTTCTGATATCACAATTCAGTAGTGGGACGAAAACAGGAATGTGTATGCAAATCATGAAAGTAATCGTTTTTTGATTTTGTTTGACATTTCTTTTCTGTAGGTAGGTAGGATACAGGGTACAGATAGAAAGCAATTCCAGGCATATATCTCTTTATCCATGATGCAATAAACGCCTCCAAAACGAAAAAATCAAACAAGCAATAACGAGGGAATACCTATGCTGCCGTCCATATAACAAAGTTTCTCCTTCACGCCAAACCAACATCCCATATCGCTCAAAACGGAAAAGCGCTGAAGCTTGCATGTAAAAAAATGATGGTAGAAAAAACTCTCAGGAAATCCATCCCCATGCATGCTGTCTCCCAAAAACACTTGGATCCCTAATATAACTCCAATCTCCGAATCTCCCATCTCCAAACCAACCTCTTGTACTCAGTCCTTTTGCAAGGCCCCCCATACATAAAGCAAAACATGATATAAGATATAATTCCCAAGCCCAAGTCCAATTCCAGAATGCAAATTTTATAAATTCTCCCTTATAGATTTTCGAAAACAGTTTCAATAACATCCACCGTAACCCTCACGATATATTCAATATCCTCTTTCGTAACCAAGTAATTCGGCGACAACATGATGTGATCTCCACACATGCCATCTGCCGTGCCGGTCCCAGGATACACTGTCATGTTGTAAGGGTGTGAGATAGCTAAATCGTGTATCTTTTGCGCAATGCTCAGTTTGGGTTCGAAAGCCACTTTGCTCTTCTTGTCTTTCACAAATTCAATGCCCCAGAAAAGTCCTTTTCCACGGATATCTCCTACATTGGGATGATCAGAAAGATATTGTTTGAGAAGTTTGCCGAGGTATGCGCCTTGCGTGCGAACATTGTCGAGGACGTCATGCTGACGGATGATACGTTGGACTTCTAAGGCAGCAGCGGCCTGGACAGGCATTCCTTGGTATGTTTGTCCGTGGATAAACTGTCCAGTGCCGTTGTAGAGAACATTGACGACTTTTTGCGAAATCAGTACGCCGGCAACCGGTTGGTAGCCGCCGCCGAGTCCTTTCCCAATGGTTTGAAGATCGGGAACGACATTTTCGGATTGCCATGCGTGCAAAGTTCCGGTGCGACCCATGCCACACATGACTTCGTCGAGGATGAAGAGCGCGCCGTGGCGATGACATACGTCGCGCATGGCTTTGAGGTAGCCGGGGAGAGCAGCGACACAGCCGAGTGCTGCGCCGACGATGGGTTCAGCGCAGAAGCCGATGACAGTTTCGGGACCGAGTTCTTGAAACTTGGCTTCGAGTTCGGCGGCTTTGCGAGAAACGAATGAGGCGTCGGATTCATTGGGGAGACGTTGGCGATATGGGTTGCAGGAGGACACGTGATGGACGTTGGGCATCAGGAAGGGGGCATAGGGTGCGCGGCGTGCTTTGTGGCCTGACATGCCTAACGCGCCTAGAGTGTTGCCATGATATGAACCGTCTCGAGCAATGAAGTTGACTCGTGGAGTAGATTTATCTTTTTCGTAAAAGTACTGTCGTGCCAATTTGCATGTGGCTTCCATAGCCTCGGATCCTACGTTGAATTAGCTTGGGTCACATCCACATCGATGGTTGGCTGTGTAGCTAACTTACCAGAACCAGTCAAATAGACTCGGGCCATTTTTCGGCCAGTGCCGTTTATCAGCTCTTCGCAAAGATCGTCCACAGTCTCATGGCCGAAGAATCCCGACGCTAGGTATGGAATGCCGGACGCCATTTGCTGGAAAACGGCATTGGTGACTCGCTTGTTGCCATGTCCTAAACATGAGACAGCGGCGCCGGATGTGGCATCAAATATGACTCGTCCGTCTTTAGTGTAAAGATTGCTTCCACTTCCTCGTACGATGACTGGAAATTCTTTGTGGAGATGTCGATCAAATAGGAATGTGGTTCTCTTCATGCCAAGTTGAACAGCCCCTCCATTCATATATGATGAAGATCCATTACTCATCGCCTTGGTGTTGGCGATGTATGCATCTTCTCTATGCACTTCTGCGATGGCAGCTGGCGACATGATAAATGATGTCTAGAGAGTATGGTTTGGGTTATGAAGTAAGGAGAAGGAAGAAGTAAGAAGTAAGAGTAGACAAGTGATATATATTGTCGACGACAGATATGTTCATGAGTTCAAAGTCTTGATATGTAGAAACCAAAGTCGGTGAGAGATGTGCAAAGTATTCTTGGAAAGTACTTAATAAGAAGGAGATTCGGAAGTCCCGATGGGAAAAGTCACCTTAATATATGGTCAAGACAGCATGCGGGTAGTAGCATGATGACGGAAGGAAGAGAAGAAGGAAACCTAGATGGGTCAACAGGAACCGGGATAAGGGCATACAAGAATGGGTCGAGGGGGTGCTAGATTCCGGAGTGGAGATGAGAATATGAAGTTGGGTGAGAGGTGAAATGTACGAGAGAAGTTGATAAGTTGAACAAGAGAATATGATAGGACGATGATCGATCAAAGTTGAATGCAACTTGCCTTTAGTTAGGTTAGCCTCACTGGAGAATAGGAAAAAGATCTGGATCAAAAAAGCATAAAATCCTTGCTTGCCACGGTTAGCATGGCGCGGTAGATGGAATTTTTGCTCTACATTGGTGGGGGGGACCGATGAAGGCAGAAGATGCCCTGACGCTAAATTCGGATGACAATTGACGTTAAACTTTCAACGGAGGCATTAGGGACCAGATGGTAAGATAGTAAGTACTATTAGTTATCCAGATACCAAGATAATAGAATACTAGAATAGTAGAAATATACTTTTCGAAGAACATGACATGACTAGTTAGTAATTCGCCAAAAGTGGTTAGCATGAACTTATATTCAAGGTATTTGTGTGGTCGTTTGATAATTGATGAAGGGGCAGAGTGAAAGGAATGTGTCTGCTGTATTGATTGACCCGATTGCGTGGTATGGTATGAGAGCACCAAGCACGAGCACGAGCATGAGCATGAGTATGAGAATGAGAGCGTCAACATGAGCAAGAAAGTATTGAGGGGAGAGAAAGGTGTCCGACGAAAGGAATGAGCTCGAGCCAAGAAGACGTGTCAATCAAAGTCCCATCCGATGGTTTAGATCCTGATGCACTGCTATGTGACCGCTCACCGCACTTACTCCTTGACCATAGCCGGGTAAAACTGTTCCCATCAGAGACATATGATCCGGGGATGTGGGTGATGGCACGAAATGGGCATATCTTTGAGGCACAAAATCTGGTGAAGCACGAAGCCCGGCCGCATATGTGGCCGGGAGCTCATAGCCGCTCTCCAATGGGATGTTTACCATGTCGTTTTATCGGTTGCTCAAACAAGTCGGGGGTGAGGGCGGGGGGAGGCAAAGAAGAAGTATTGTTTCGTTGCCTTGACATGAAGATCTCCGAAAGTAACCAGCTTCCTTTGTAAGAATGAAGCAGGAATGGAAATGGAAACGGAAATGGAAAGATTTGTGATTCGATTTCTGGTCACGATATCAATAAAGTTGAAGATTAGGATTGACAAGCCGACTTATTTTCCCCAAATTGTCCTTGGTTTCGCTATGACACCGTACTATTCTACCCATTCTACTATCCAAAAATGGGTCTCCACTTCCCGAGCATCTACTACCTACCAGCCAAAACTACCTACCTACTGATGAATCTCTCTACCTTGCTTGATGCGTAATATGATCGAGAGGGAGTGTACTGTCCGCGTGGAGATCTAGATTTTATCTTGATTTTATTTTCATTTTTATTTATCCTTTACTTTACTTTACTTGTTAACTTTCATGCTTTTCATTTCTGTCGATTTTGTCCGATAAACGCAGGGCAAGGGGCGGCCGAACAAGTAAAACTAGGCAGTTGGTTAATAACTTGGGTTCAAATATTGATTAATTCAATTGATTCTCGAATGATTTGATTTATTTTGGTTTGACTAAATTTTGAGTTTGATTGAATTCTTCATCTCCCATTTGCCAGAGGAGAAAGAACAAAAGCGAAAGTGGCCATAGAGCGACGGGAAAGGGTCCATCCAGTCAAATCCTGGGAAAAGGATAAGAAGGGGTGTGAGAACCGTTGAAAAAGAACCTGTGAGGAGATATTTCGAAATGCATATGTGTATGTATGTCAGTATGTATGTATGTAGTCGGTGGCATATCATTTGCAGTCTTAGAGGCTATCTGTCTGTCATCTTATGCGGATTGTTACAAACGCCTAGAGATCGTGGAATGTGATTGATCACCTTTCTTACCTCTGGGTTACTCAAGTGCGAAACCCATCATTGGGATTTTTACGCCCCCAAACATAAAGATGTAATAGATCCATACGGATTAGTCCTTTAGTCCTTTAGTCTCTTGCTCTCTTGCTCTCTAGTTTCTTGTGCTCTTTCGGAACTTTGTTTCCCCCAATGACCTTGAAATGATGCTTCATGAGGTGATACACTCTACTCAGATCGAGTGCAGGAACCATGCGATGCATCGAAATTTCAAACCATTTGTATGTGAGTGAGATACGTTGCCGAGATGTTCCATTTCGTGAATCTTGTCCACTCAATGCTATATCGTACATATCGGTGCGGTAGTAACAATCGGCTAATTTATATTTTGCGAAAACCTGGTACAGAGATACTTTTGGTCGTACTGTGCTTCTCAGTCGTCAATTTTAATATACAATATATCTATTGTACGAGTTGTAGCCAGGTTCTCGTCAACTGGGCAGCAGCACAGAATTCGATTGATCCGCTTTTCATTCAAGGCGAGACCTTTGAGATTTCAATCAAGAAGAGCACGAAGCCGTGATATCTAGATCTTTGCATAAAGCGGTAGCCAACCGGGTCTAATTTGTTGGAACGTTTTCGTACTCATTCTCATCAGCTGATAATGTCATAAAACAAATAACAATACAAACGCAGTATTGAATGCGAGAGACATCATATTTCCAGAAGTTCAAGATCGATAAAACATAAGCAGAGACAACAATTGGTTTGTTTTATATTTCAAAAAATCCATCACAATATCAATAACTTTTTTTGGCCGTTTTCCTTTCTTGATTATTTGATAGGCGTGGATATTTTTTCCTTCTTTTTTTTGGTCGAATCAAATCAAACTGTTTGCATCAGTCGAATTAAGGTACAAGAACTGCAGGTAAGAAGTAATCACTATATTTTCACGGAGGCTTTTTTTGCTTGTCTTTTCTGATGCTTGCTGGCTATGAACTCATGCCTGCGACCCTCCTATCACCTTATTTTTTTCAATTTGCACGACGATGAGCCCAAGTCCTTCCTTCCTTTACTAGCTATCTACATAGCGATTTCAGATTTGCGGCCCAACAGCTCATGAATCACGCGGCCATGATTTATGCAACACTGCAGCTGCATGACAGATTATGGAAAAGAGCGTGGAAGAAAAGAGAAGCAAGGCAGGAGAGCGGTGTCCCAAAAATGAAAGCATAATGCGTACTCTATTGCAGGAGCTCGGTGATTCTCGTATAATGTTATGGTCCGTCCACTTATCCACCGTTGCAGCATATGTAGGAATGAACGTGCAATCATTCGGTGATCATACGTAGGATTAGAACAAGGGTGGATGAAAGAACTGATGATTCTTGACTTAACCCCATGTCATTCCATTTGTGATACCCAAAATGAGACGGACCCTCATTCGAGTTCATTCCGGCCGTCTGGCACCATTTTAAGGCTTGGGCTTACTTCCATGAATAGGGATCCGAAAACATACCTCGTAGCCTCGTAGCCAATACACAATTGGCAGAAAAACATGCCATTCAGTTATTGCCGACTTTCATCGGCTTCGGGCATCATTCCTTCGGCATCCCGAACATAGGCTGCCGAGTACGGTTGTAGATCCAGAAAATTTCCGGATAGTGGGGAATCTGTAGAGGCCTAGAATAACCATCGGCTTCTTTTCCTTTCTTTGAGAATCATCATCAGACACTATCCACATCGAGTCAAGGGTCCAGATCTGAAGCCATTGGCTAGATTATTGTATGTTCAGAAATTGGGAAAGAATGAATGAATAGCCTCGGCAGATGTCTGAGTACTGTCATATCAATTGATGTTTTGCTTGTAAGAGAATAGGGTCCACTCTTGCTCTCGAACTCGGCCAAGGACGGTGAAGGGGGTTTGATCATAAGATTAAGGTCTTGATCTGCTTCGAGATGATATATGATTGCATGGGAAGACACCCCTTTAAAATATCTGAAGTGTGGCGGATGTGCCCACAGTGGCTGCAGAAATGTGTTCGTTAGCGTTAGATTGGACTTTGGGATCTCAGCCCCGAAGGCCACAGATTGTATTTTGAATTGATTCTTACTTAATGATCAATTCCCAGTGTCCAGTGTCCAGTGCCCAGTCTCCTAATATGTACGTGCCACCCAATCGTATCGCCGTGCCGTGTGGTAAAGAATACGATGTGTAGTGGTTAAATGTTGAGTCAAGTTAGGGTAATGAAACTGCCGGCACTCAGACTTGTGATGATTTAATTCCGCGATTCGGATAAAAAGCACACACATTCACATATCCGCATATTAGATGATTACACATATGAAAGACTAAAAAGCTTGTCTGAGGTGAGGTTCATAGATTAGCGTGTTTTGATACACATTACATAAGCCAGCAAGGTGACCTGCAGGTACCTACTAGGTAATTAATGAATCATATCATCAACGAATGATGATGACGCGGGCGTTTTAGTGGTCTCAACCTACGCACTGCACCTTCCAATTTCGACATTCTTCTTCATACAGCTCATTCATACATCTCATACAACTCATACACATATCTTTGATACCTTTCTGCAGCTCATCTCATCTGGATCCTAAACCTGGTCTCTAATTCCCTTTTAAATTGTCAGGTAATGATAGCCAGCCATCGTTGAATATTTTCGACCTATCCGGGATACACACGATTCGGGGGAAAATGTCGGTATCTAGATATCTCCCGTTTGCTTCAAGGACAACAGACGCGCAAGCAGTGACTTATCTTTTGGCCGTGTGTCTTTTTTCTATCTCCTTTCTAGTTTTTCTCAACAGTAGCGTGTCATTCGTTATCACTGATCTCATTGGAGTAAAAGAAGGCGTGGGGGATCTGGTGGGCACTCTCGTACGACACCCCAAATGTCAATTATCTTTAAAAATTGAAAATACTTACTCGTTCTCAGGGGTTTGCGGATGAATTGGTTGCTTTGTTAGCTTGTCCCGCGTGGGGAATTCTTAGTGATAGACTCGGTGTCCGGGTGGTTTGCGTTCTAGGATACCTCATTGTTGGCCTTGCATTGATCTTATTCGTGCAAGCAAAGAATGTCTTCCCACAACTATTACTTGCGAGATTATTCTTTTCAGTGGGGGGAGCTGCTACGTGAGTTCATTCCGAGCGACATCATACGCGCATACTAACCGAGATTGGAGTGCGACGATGGTGACCGCGATCCTACCTTCAATGTCCGCCCGAGAGACCGACGATTCGCAGAGTTCCCCTATTTCGAGATCAGCCTTGCCGGAAAACATTCGCCATAGTATTGCGACTGAGTCTATAGATTCCGAGATCACCATAACCCCTACCAATTATAATGATCGACGTGGGACCCCTCTTGGCGACCACTCAAAATCCATGATGCAAACCGGATCAAGCCCCCCGCGTTTGGCCGGCTTAGTTGGGTTATTTACAGGTTGCGGGGCGCTTGTAGCACTGATTGCATTTTTACCATTGCCAGCGCAATTCTCGCGGATGAAAGGGGTATCCCAAGGCCAAGCGGTGGCCGATAGTTTCTACGTGGTTGGAGTTGTATCACTCATGGTTTCTTGCTTCTGCTTTATTGGTCTCCGGGGCTTGGCAGGCGAAGAAGGTAAAGGGTGGCGCCTACTTCTCGGTAGACCAATAGCCAGAGACACTGTGGGACATCCTGGAGGACGAGAAAACACGGAGAAGTTTCAGTCATACTGGACACTAATATCAGATTCAACAATTTTAGGATTTAAGGATGCACAAATTGGTCTTGGTTATTTAGGAGGATTCGTCGCACGTGCCTCATCAGTTGGCATATCACTTTTTATCCCACTTTATATTAACTCATATTTCATTGGGCATGGATTCTGTCAAGGATCTCCAAATGATCCGTCACCTGAACTCAAGAAGGAATGCCGTAGAGCATATGTTCTTGCCGCCGAGTTGACTGGAGCATCTCAATTGATCGCTTTGCTTTGTGCTCCGCTATTTGGCTATCTCTCAGACCGCTACCGTCGTTTCAATATACCACTTCTCACAGCGAGCGTTTTTGGTGTGATTGGATACATAGGTTTTGCTCAGCTTGTTAGCCCTGAACCACAGGATATCAATGGTAGAGGAGGAAGTCCTATAGTATTTGTTATGGTCGCCTTGATTGGCATCAGTCAAATAGGGGCGGTGAGTTCCTCGATGCATTTTCTTTTTCTGAGTTTTCAAGTTCATCATCGACTATACACGTCGTTCCGTCTCACGATGTATTTATGTGCTAAGCTAATTTAATATCTTGAACAGATTGTCTGCAGCCTTGGTTTACTAGGAAGAGGTGTACTTGGTGATGAAGGTGGCTACAATTTATCGTCCCAGCTTCAAGATGCGAGGAGCGATGAGAATACAGACTCACGCGATATAACAACCGAGACAGCACCGCTTATAGCGCCTCCATCATTACCTAAGAATCCTTCAAGAAACCATCTCAAAGGGTCTATAGCTGGTGTTTACTCTCTATCCGGAGGTGCTGCGATTCTACTACTCACAAAACTTGGTGGTTACCTTTTCGATAATCTTTCCACGGGTGCTCCGTTTTACATGATGGCAATATTCAACGCTATGCTCCTAGTTATCGGCATTGGAGCTGGAGTTTACCGCGAAATCAGAACAGCTCAAAAACATCGATGAGCTCATCACTTTGATCTGCGGCATCAATGTTCTTGTGCCTTCACTTCACATGCGCTTGGTAAGATTTCCTACAGGGTGCCCAAGAGTTCTTACATATCGTGGGGTTAACAACAATAACTATTATTATTATCTGAAAAGGATGTGTCAATATCATCTATTTCATTTCGAATGTCCTTCAATCTAGCCCCATATCAGGTGAGACCAAGACCTACTACATCAATACACCTTGATCGAGCCTATTCTGCGAAACTGACATGTCGATCACGGGCTCTACGCTTTTCGTTCGTGCCTCGAATTCTGAATGATCCATTTCGAGACTCCTGAGGCATTTCCTCAGATAGTGGAAGGTACTCTATGTCATTATCAACATTCCCTTCCGCGGTTTCAGACTTGGTTTTTGCTATTTTGTGCAAACGATTGCGTATATTACTGGGCTTTGATAATTTCTCTTTGGAAACACCCATATCATCGCTGGGAGTCAAAGCACGACGCTCGGAGTAGTTGCTGGGACTGTCAAATGAGTCAGAATCATAAGGATCCTCCGCCAGGAAGTTTTCTATCGCTGACCCTTTTGCTTCCAAATATTGCCGAGTAAATTCCCGACTGGATTTGCCGCCGAGATCTATAAAACTTGCTATTGAGTTCTGATTGTACAGCTTGATAGTATCGCATCGTAGACATGTGCGCCATTCGAGGTTGTAGCCGTGTTTTGGACATGCATCTGGATGTTTGTAGGCCGTATCCGAAATTTGAGGGTTCATATTGACAAGGACACTGTACTGATCTATAAAAGAGAACAAAAAAGCCCTTAAGGTCTAAACAGCAGCTAAAGCAATAACTATGAGGTCCCTGAGAGTTATCTGAAAAAAAAGAAAAGGTTGTCAGATTTTTTTGTGGTTGTATACTTGAGGATTTAGGCAGGCATAAAGAAATAAAAACAGTCACTACATACTGTACTTGCTCACACATTCTCTAATCTTTCTGCACTTTTTGAAGGACATTTTTCCTTTCTTTGTGCTTAGGATTCATTCCTGCCCCTCCCCCCCCCCTGAAGCTGCCTTTGTTTAATGACGGCCTCAATCTTCTTCTCTGCTATTGTTCCTTTCGTCAATCTTTTCTTCGTAATTTATGAGAAATAAACACAGCCATTGGTGTACAAAGAATCTCAGCATGACAACAATCATCACGTTTCTTTGCAGTTGCTCAAGAGATCACATGTGAGAACTCAGCAGGTAAATGAAAAGATGCTAGACCAAAAACTTTCCTAAAGCTACGGAATCGGAATGATTCTTCACTCGATTATCTGAATGAACGGGCTGTACAAGGTTCTCGGAACGGAACATAGGAGATTTGTTGTTTCTGATGAAGCTTCCATTGATAACAAGATTTTATTTCTACTCATTTAATGATTTATCTGATTACTCTCATATTTTCTCCATTTCTGTCTATTTCTTGTGACACCGAGATACTTGGTGCATTGTAAAAGAACGATTGTTAGATCACAGGTTGTTGTTGGTTTGAAGAGAAATAGAACTGGTTCTGATAGGATGAGAAGGGATGTATGTGTAAGGAGGAGGGTAGGTATGATGGATGGATGGATGGATGGATGGATGGACGTATGAAGATTTGGCTTGATTAGAGGGATATGGCCATCTACCTGTCTAGACAGTAATATTCATGATTTGTGCTTGATACTCGATACTCGATACTCGAGATACCTGGGTGATACATTGTGTATTGTATATTGGGCATTGGGCATTGGCTATGGAACATGGAACATGGAACTCGAGAATCGAAGGATGATAGAGTTCGGTGAGTAAAGTATGATTGATATATGTAGAATACCTACTCACCAGTATAAAGAAAATGAATTGATAAAGGGACAGATTTTCCATCGATGTTCCCCAATGAGAGTAAACGAGTAAAATCGTCATTCATACCCAGTTAGGTAGATACCAAGGTAGCTTACTTAGTACCTGTAGATCTTCCCCAGTTTATCTCCTCCAAAAACAAACGTCATCAAAGCGCAACATACGACATTCTTCCTGATTGATGCCATATACTTCGTACAAATTTATTACAAGAACATCTTGCTGTCAATCTTACCTACCTATCTAATAATTAAAGCGACGGTGACAACTCAAAGTCATATTCTTCCTTACCTTAATCAAATCTGAACACCCGTCGGAATAAATTATTGACAGGTGGGAAAACGATACAACCCATTTCTCGTTCCAAAACACAAAGTACAGCCTACGAGGCACCTACTTGAACACGCAAAAGGTACAACATCTTGGAACCTAAAACTACTTTGTCAAACCAACCTGTCAAACTTACATATTTCCGATGCGAGAATACCAATTGAACCTAATCTAAAGAACAAACAACTACACACCTACCAATAACCAGTTTTCCTTCACCTCTCATCTACATTCTACATCAACACTTCCGATCCTGCAGAAATACATCCCAAGGACAACATCCGCGTGTCATTCAGGAACCTGATAGATAACTTCTTGTATCTAAGAAGCACTTTTGATTCGCAAGAAATGTCGGGCATACCGCGATATAACAATGCACCACTGAATGCACGATCGGGTGTTCTTGTCCCTCCCACCGGGCCTTCAACATCCTCTGAAACGGCCGCGCCTGCATCATCATCAGAACCTCTGAACAACAGCAACCCCACCACGACATTATCCTCATCCTCCTCGTATCCACGAGCGCAACCCGCAGCTGCCGTGCCCATTCCTACCGGGCTTGCAAACTCGCGACGTTACGCCCCTCCCCCCGCAGCTGCACTTACGACGGCCAAACCAGAGCCAACGCGCACGATAAAAGAAGATTCCGATGTACCGCCTGCACCCCAACCAGGTACTTTCCCCGAGCCGACTACTGGGTTCGCGGGAAATACGTTCGCATCGCAAACTAAATCTGTGCCTCCGCCTCCCAGAGCGGGGTCTTCGTATGCTGTCAATCACAATGCGACTCCTTCAATGCCACCCAATCCAAGTGCGGGACAAGTTGGCACGATGGAGAATCATACAGAATACCCCCTCAGATGATGATTCCGCCGCCAAGCGTCACCCGCGCACCGTTTTCGACGACGATGACGATGGATGCGAACACGGCAGCTCAGACATCGAATTCATATGGGACAATGCATCCTCAACCGGTTTCTGTTGGCGATGCGTATGCTCATCGTACACAGCAGGAAAACGAGGGATATGGACAGCGACGCAGTGTGGAATACCTGGAGCATCCACCGGGATACGTGCAGAATGCGTATGCGGCTGAACTGAGCAGTGATCAGAGGAGAGCAATGGATGTGAATGAGAGGAGAGAAAATGCCAGTGTAGGTGGGGTGAATAGTGGGGGTGAGGAGGAGGGGATCTGGGGGAGTGCAAAGAGGTGGGTTGGGAGTGCCGGGAGTAAGTTGAGTGAAGGGGAAAAGGAAGTTTGGAGGAGGATTAACGGGGAGTAGAGTTTACTAGGGTTGCTGCGGGTTTGGTGGAGGGGGATCATGGGGTCTACGATAGATATGATGATACGATACGTTACGATACCAGACGTGATAATTCGATAAGATGGTGTACGATTGTGTATGATTAGGTAGCAGTAGACTGATACATTTACAGCTACGAAAGATATTCGGGTAAAGTACTTTTATACAGGGAATGTCACTTTTTTTTTACAGAACACTTCATGGGAGCCTATTGTCTGGTATGAGCCAGTGCATAAGCCACTTCAAATGAATTGGCCTGGATAGTGTGCAGACAGTCCAACACAGTACCGTAGGTGGATATAATAAGTATCAAGCCTCTATACAAATGAAGATAAGCAAAGTATTGACACTGATAAGAATAGAAGCAGAACCCCTATCACTTGAGGCAACATGTATCCATCGTCACTGGGTCTGAGTGCGAGGGAGGGTAGTATTGTATGAACCCAAGTATAGCTGTGAGGAGTTTCGTCACGGTACATAGCATAGCTCCCGTCATCATAGCATTCGAGGCTTGGAGGATTTGCACAAGGAGTGCGAGAGTATGCGATCCTAGAACGGAGAAGTGCTGACGGAATGTTTTACAAACAATGGAAGAAAGGGGGGGAAAAGTCGGTGTTCGAAGACTTGGTATCAGGCAGGAAGCTCTACTTGTTGTAGATTAGAATTTAGCTGGTGATCAATCAATTGAAAGTTTGACACCCCCGTAATTCGAGAAGGGAACGAGAAGGATACGCGCATACCCAGCGTCATCGATACATTTTTTCTCCTTGTGAGCAAGGGGGAAGGTAAAGCAGGGGGAGGTCATGGGTGAGTGGGTAAGGCGGGTTGATCTTCATATTAGATGTGTTATATTGATAGGGGTGACAACGTAATCCACAGTGGAGAGAAGATATCAGATAAACGCCCGAGTCGAGTATATCTGCATGAATTTTGCGTACGGATTGGGATGACCGTGGAAATTGAATTGTAATGAGTGCTTGGGCTTGTGTGCTCGAAAGGGAAGAAAGGTGGATAATGGGTGTGAGAAGGGTATGGGAGTCGGAGTTCCCCCCGCATGGAAGCTGGAAAGGGAAGGAATGATGTAGGGGCGGTGTGGCTGTGAAGACATGGGATGATGTTCGTCTTGCCTTTGGGAAGTGATGTCGTTTCGCGGTTTGAGAAAGATTGATATGTTGTCGTCTGCTAGCGTTCGAAGTAGATTTGCACATGACATTTTTGGATATAACGATATTAAGGTCTCTTAGCGGAGAGACGGGATGACAGAATCGCAATGACGGTTTGGAATAGAGACATCATAGCTTCCTTGTATTCGCATGAGTTGAGGTTTAGTGCGAAAGAATTATCTGCTAGAAGGATATCAGAGAATTCTAGAATGATAAGGTGGGTAGGCGGTGCACGGGATGATACAGTAGCCGAGTGGAAAAGGCTAGAGCTGGAGCTAGTGACCTGCCCTACCCTGCCCTACGAAACAGCTGAGTCCCGAAACAGGTACTGGGTGGATTAGACAAAGTGGAGTGAAGCGGGTGATCGGATTTCGGATGAATTGAGAAAAGGGTCATAGCGGGGGATTGTTTGGAAAACTACGGTGCTTCCGTAAAGGTTAGATTGAAGCGAGTTATTTTTGACGCTTAGGACGTGAAAATAGATGAGAAGGTTGTTAGGTGAAGAGTGTCTAGTAACCTTATTCTGGAAAAGTGTGTGAGAGTTTGATTACCTCCAAATGGGCACCTGACTTGACCCGAACTGAAAGGATATCTGATTAGTTGCCTCGTATCTACGGAGTAATGTATAGTGCGAAGTGGACAGTATCATGACGGTCGATATACGTTTACGCTAGAAATCCTTCTTGACAGCTTTCGATAACTTTTCCGTTTTTGGAGAAGTACATTTCGGAACACGTTAGATGGAGACTAATTGCAGCAATGAATGGGATACACCTACCTACTGGTTAGTCTCGCTGTGTTGTTCATTCTTGTTATTCTCGAGTCTTACTGCTCATGGCGTAGTACGATTTAAACATCAGGATACGGTCAATCACCAGTGATCGCATGCCAGGAAATATATTAATGTGCCCGTAACGAACGACGAGGCCAGCCGAATTGGCATAGGATTGGGATAGAATTGAATATCCGTGCCTGTGCTGTCAGTGGTGATCGATGGGCCGGGATGAGAGGAGCTGCTGAGGCAAGCCACATAATATTTGAGGTATGACGAATCGGACATTTAATCGATCATCGGAATCCTGGTTAACAGTACAGTGAGAGATGAAAAGAGGACATACGGTCGCCGACTAATAGACTATTATGTGACAGGTATCAAGGTTTCTCGGCATCAATCGGTACCTGGATTTGATATTGAAAGAGGGAAAGAGCGAGCCTCTACCTACTCAGCTAGTGAGTTGCCCAGCCAGTTAATCAAATTGGTTTCATTGACAGAGAATAGCTAGAAAGAAAAGGGAAAGTCAGCAATTTGTTACAAACTAAGTAGATACGATATTTTAGAACGTGATGATATGTTTCCCCTTCATCTAAAGTATTTGCCTACTAGTTAGTTTGTATGAAAGATTTAGCTTTTTAACCCTCAGACTGACAGTCGGTTCTTTCGGGACGTCTACTTCATTAAGTTAATTGGTTCGAATCTCTTACCTCTCTTACTTGGGTCTTCCCCTGTATAGAGTTTCATGATGCTTGTCTCAAACACTACCGAGGATGCACGATACATGGATTATTACAATAGGATGATGGAAACTTGCCAAGATGAGGACTTCTGAAGTGAGTTTAAGAAATCAAGAGTGCGAGTTGGATTCTGGCGGTGTTCAATTTGTGGAGCGGTGAAGTACAAACAATGACAGAGAGCGAGCAAGATTCATCATGTCCAAAAAGCTTCATCGTTTGAAGAATTTGAAACTATTTCAAATCAGAATCCTCGGTTCTCTTACAATCTCTTACCTCGTCTATTTCATAAGGGAGTATCGAGAGACGATGAAAGTAACAAAGTATGAGAAGAGGGAGGATGAGATGGATGGCTAGATACGGTGATTATTGGGAAAGAAGATTGATTAATTTTAGTGATTGCTAAAAATGACAGTAATTATTTTTATATCTTCTTACTTCTTACTTCTTACTTCTGTCAGCCATCAATTCACATTGATGAAGGGGTACATTCGGTACTGTACGTCTTGCTTAAAATAGACGGATATACTGGTCGGATTTTCAGGTGTGGAAATGATTGAAAAGCCGTTATTAAATAAATGATCAATAAATAATGATTGGTTATTGGTGACTGAGTATTGGGTAATTAGCAACTTGTTTTGTTCCATTTATCACTTCTGTGCCACTTTAGCCAGCCAAGATACTTAGTATGCAGTATACAGTACATATGAGGAATCACCTATCTCATCTGTACTTCCAGACCCCTTCCCCCCTCCTCCCTCTCTCAGATCAATATCCTTTACTTTTACTACACGTCGACCAAACGAGGATCCCTAATCCTTTCGACAGGTTCTTCCTTATACACAGAAACATTTAGGTAGACAATTAGGTTTTAGCATCTCTTATTCGTATAACTTATTATATAATATACATGATCTATTATATCATATTAGGGCTGATATGCTTTGTTGTACAGCTAAAATCGTGGAGTACCCCTGTTTCCGTGTGAAAAATGATCCTCAAACATAAACCTAGTTTCTAATCTATCCTTACCCGTCCGACTAATCTACTCATGGTACCATCTGCTCATCACCAGTGAAGAAAAGAGACCACAAACTTACTAATTACTTCAAACAGGATTTATCAATTACTCGTTCGACGCCATCTTCGGGCATTATTGGTTGTCCGTTGACCTCGGACTTTTTCGACAAACCTCAATCAGTTACCCTAGACGTTACAAATTCATCCCCATAGCACCCCGTTGGGATAGTCCGTGGGCTCATGAAAATAATTGGAAACAGGTCAATATCCAATTGTGCAATACCACCGTGGTACAACCACCAGAGTCACCACCGTCGCCATCGTCATGGTAGCTTAATTCTCACCAACCTCCAGGGAAAAATCTTTCCTTATGTGGGACCTACGGTATCGTTATATACTCCCTCAGCCTACCTGCCTTACCCCAGATACTGCACCTTTAAAGTGTAGTGGCGTCGGATGAGACAAGATAAGCCACCTCCCTCTACTTGTAGTGCCCTCTAAACTCTCTTGCTGGATGAACACATACATATCGAATATCGAATAATGTCGTTCCATGATGGGTCAGCGGCAGTGGACCAGTCCCTAGACCCAACCAGCAGCCTTGCAACTTCGATACTGCAACCAAGTGCAATTGTGCTCACTCACGTTGCTAAATACTACTAACCCACTTAAATACTAACTTCAGCTACTATTCGCACAGCTCATCTGTCCTTCCCACCACACCTCCCTCTCCCCCCTCCCCACTTCATCTACCCATGCAAAGCCAAGCCTTTCCGGCAAAGCGTACTTTCCAGGTCTCGACCACACAAGTTTTGTGAGGTTTGGCTTGTATCAGGAACGACGCTGGCATGGGTCTAAGAACGACATCCCGATCCCGGGCAGGGCTGCAAATCACGACAGGCGTCCCTCGACCATTTCAAGTATTTTCCTTCTCTTATACCTCATGGATCTCTGCACTGCCCCTCTTCCACCTTTTTCGCGTCGTCCCAATCGCAACTCTTCCTGATCTATTCGACCAGTCACTCCTTTAAGGTCTCTTTAATCTCGCTTTTCGCTCATCTATATACTGGGAGCTGGCTCTCATAAATTTCAAGCCAGGCTACGTCGATCACCAAACGAGTTTGTTTCTATACTACTTTTCCCCAAGTGCATAGCTCAACTCATCACGCTCATTTCCGCTGCCCGACACTATCTACTTGCAGATACATAGTAACCATACCCACATATTCTCACCGCGAGACATCGTTGTTCAATTTCGTTTCACCGGAAACTTTACGCATTCCCTAC